CGCCCATGAATATTTAGAATGCCTAAATTCAATGCAATATTAATATTTTTGTTTATGAGTCAAACTCGGTCTCTACTTTTTTATGTAATAAATAAAGTAAAATGAGTCACCAAAATTTAAGTGTCAACAACATCACGCCATAAAATTTGTTGGCCAGCAATGTCATAACCTCAAGGGTTTTTGCCAGATAATTTAAACATTTGGTGAATGATAGATAAAAGTTGCATTTAATCAAGGAACAATTGAATTTATGGGACAAAAACACATGTTCCGTCCATTTCGAGGACTTGAAGGAAAGGGAAAAGGAAAAGGAGAAGCCCGTCCATTTGAAAAATATTCCGGACTTCTTTTGCTACTCTCATTTTTGTCTTCCTCGCGGCCGCTTCAACCATAACCTCTCCAGATTTCGTCCAAGTCTCTCTGAACTTCTGAAATTTCAGGGCAAAAAGCTAGTCATTTCTCCAAATTTTAAATTAATTCTATGACCGATATACGACGGTTTCGTCCCTCTTATACTTATTGCTCTATGTTTTTTTCTCTCTCTATTTTTACCCTCCACATCAAGGAAATCTGTCTGGAGGGGTTCAAATCCTATGCGACCCATCCTATGCGAATCCCCAGGAGTTCGTCTATGAGCAAGGCCAAGCTGGAATTATTAAAGCCACGGTTTTCGTTATGTTCGATAATCGGATCGAAGTCGGAGTCCCACTTGGTTTTTGTAATTATATCTCCTAATCTAAATCAGGATAATAGAGAACAGACTCAACTTATCACAACTAAAAATTCATAAAAATGTACTTCACTCAAGCAGATAATAAATAAAGCAATATTATTTATTAGTTGTGGAATGAAACCACAAAGTTATTACATAACTCAATTGCCTTTGTTTAAAAAAAACCAAACTTTAGTGCAATGAATAGGTCTTCTGGCAAGACTGAGAGCATGAATCCGCACAGGCTCTGAGCTTCTTCCTGTCCCCTTCAACTTTCTTGGTGCCTGCATGAATTTAAATAAGAAACAAGAAATTAAAAAAGTTACTTATATCAAGATTGAAATTGATTTTTTTTAACAAGAGCATATATCAAAGTCCAAGAAATGAAATAATTTAGTACGCAACTATCCTCTCATAATTAAAATATAACAATGAAACACTATAAAGAAACAAGATTATACAATAACTTTCTTGGTTTTATGAATTTGATAAGAAGCTATGTTCTATTTTTCGATCTCGATGCGAAGATTATTACCCGAATGATAGTCCATGCAAGTAGACAAGAAACAACCGACATCTCAATGCTCTAATGCCGCGGACATAGGGGGCCCTGTTAAGCAACGATTGATGCAATCCGCACTGCATTGCAATGAATTGGGGTCGAAGACATAGAAAAATGCGCGCTTCAACGCGCATTTCCAAGATATGCCTGCCGCGTCGGCAACAATGGACGACCATAGTATCAGAGCTGCCACGAACATCATTGACCCCATTCTCTTGGATACTGTTACCTCCATGGCTATATACACTATATACACCTAATCTACATTTTGACAGCTTTGTGAGCTAGTGTAGTGATGTGTTGAAATGAACTAGTGTAGCACCTTTATATACTGAGAGATTCATTCAAGTTGCTAAATTAGTTGATGAGTAAAGAGGTAAGAAAAGGAAACTATCTTTTTCATTTAATGATAACATCCTTGACCTTATTCTCAAGTTGAATGATTTGGAAATTTAGCTGTGCATGGGAATTTCTTTTTTCTTACCAAATTTCAGGTCCAGTAAAAAAGGTGATAATTAGTTGCCATCTCTTGTGAAACTTTCTTCTAAATGGGGGTACTTGTCTAATTTGATCTCACCAATAAGTTTCTTTTTAAAGGGCCCTAAATTTCTAAATTAAATTCAATTTAATCCATGCATGACAAATTACCTGATCTCAGTTCATAGCAGAGCTCCTTGGGGAAGTCCGCCCAGCAAGTGGAGAAAGGTTTTTTTTTCGCTTTTGAGTCCTTTACATATCATCTTATCCTTTGAACATTGTATTATATGTATCAAGGACTAAATTGAGTTGATTTTACAAAACTGGGATTTTATCGATAGAGGCCTGGAAAAGGACGTTGCATTTGTTCCCTAATTTGAGATGGCGTACGTCATTTTTTTTTTATATTTACACTTTGAAAGTCTATATTAATTAAATTTTCCTCAGGTGGTTGCTATTCTTCCCCTAATCAAGCGTAATCTTGTCTCTTCAAGCATGGTAATAAGCCACAGACGTAAGAGCAAGCTAATAGCTGTCATGGAAACTTCAACCTTCGATATGTGAACGCTCCGCGGGAGGTTTTTGAAAGGAAGTCTTGAATGGAGATGAGGTTGAAATTAATGCCAAGTGATGGTCTCAACATATAGTTCATCACTGTTAACGCATCAAATCATATTAAAATTAACCATTGTGATCTCTCTTCACATGTATTTAGTAACTACCTAGGGTCATTACAACTATTCAGTAACATAAATGTAATTTTTGTTTCCAAAAAATTATTCCTTTCTCATTATACATATTTTATCCACGATGGTGCATAGGAATCTCAACAATAATTTCTCGTCAAGTTACACATTTACAAAATCAGATCGCATATACGTGGGAAGTTGGCCAATATGGTTAACACCCAACACCATAGTGCACTTAAAAAAAAAAGTGTAATAGAGTTTGATCCATAAAGAGATTTTATACAAGACTATTCTTGAGGTCTTAGCAAGTAATTCGGGAAGCATTAAGATTTGAGGACTATTATTATGACGAAAAAAATCTTAAATGAATTTGGTGTATGTAGCTAGACCTCGCACTGTACCTAATCCTGTTATGACTTGTAGAATCGACGATGTTGAATTGGACCCAACAATGTGAATTCGGAGAACGTCCAATTTATCTAAATTTTGACCGCGGATCCGCTGACTGGTCGCTGTCGTCCGTGAGGGCATGCTTGAAAAAAGTCAACGTATATATAAGACGGCGATACAGGAAACCAGGTTGGCGAGATCAGAGAAGAGGCAACCCTGGCGGAGGGGGAGGAGGAGAAGGTGAACTTGGAATGGTCACTGCCGGTGCCGAGCGTGCAAGAGCTGGTGAGGCAGCGACAGCCGGATGCTTTGCCCCCCAGGTACGTGCGCGATGACGTGGCCCCCACCGATCATCGGCCAGAGTCATCACAGGGCTTGCCCTGCATCGACCTGGGGAAGCTGATGGACCTTCTTCCCGTTCCGCCGAGCTCCACAACCTTCACTCTGCCTGCCACCAGGGGGGTCTCTTCCTGGTTGGTTTCTACTTGATCATTAGCTTCATTACCTACTGTTACGATACCCACTCTCTTTACTGCATAATCTCTCTCAAACTAAAGGACTTGGACGCTGATGCCATCTGAACCGGTTATGTGCAGACTGTACATCCGAAGTATTTTACCTGTTATTATCGAATGAAGTATTTCAATTTCGTTCCTTTTCATGCTGATACAAAACGGCGTTAACTACACTGTTCAAAAGCTTTCCGGGTAATCTGATCTATGGTTGATTATTGGATCCAATCCTGCGCTTGGACAGCCCGTCTTTTATTTTGCATCTAAACGAGTCGGTCAAGTTGGTGAGTCGTTTCATGTAGATGAAATGGTTAACAAGTTTGAACCCATTGAAATCATCTCTTGGAAACATGATTAGCATCATTTCATTGATCAGCATTATCTTCGTATATGATGTGCACCATTGTCTCCTAAAATAAGACAATCATTATCGTATCTTCGTAGGACAATCATTATTGTGAAGTTGTCATTAATGTGCAGTTAGTGAACCACGAAGTGTCGGATGAAGGGATGGGGATGATGAAGGAAAATGTGCACGGGTTCTTTGAACTGCCTTACCATGAGAAGCAGAAGTCGGCACAGAGACCAGGAAGTCTCGAAGGTTATGGGCAGGTTTTCGTCACCTCTCATGACCAGAAGCTGGAGTGGAACGACATGATCTTCCTCAAATGCCTTCCTACTCATGCAAGAAATCTCGATCTGTGGCCACAAAATCCCCCAGAATTCACGCAATTTGTTTCCATCTTTTTGGTTTCTATATTGTTTGTGCATTTCACTTTAGCTAAATTAAGCAAATGATGTTGACTATGAATACCGTATCTATCAGGAAAGCACTAGAGAAATACAGTGAAGATTTGAGGAAAGTGGCAGTGGCGGTAGTGAAGTATATTGGAATGGCGTTGGGGATTCATGAAGGTGAACTGGACTTGTTGATGAAAAGTTTCAGAGAAGGACGGTATGAGGTCAGGATGAATTACAATCCACCATGCCCGGAACCCGAGAGAGCAATGGGCCTTTCGCCACATGCCGACAACTCAGGGATCACCATGTTGACGGAGTGCGGCAACATGCCCGGCCTTCAGGTCCCCAGCAGGGATGCCAGCTGGGTCACGGTTCCACCTGTTCCTGGCAGCATTGTCGTGAATTTAGGTCAAATATGGAGGTTTACAGCAATGGCACATACCGAGCACCAGATCATAGAGCAGCGGTGAACGAAGAGAAGGAGAGGATGTCCATAGTGACCTTCTGCTATCCCAGGCCGTCTCTTCCAGTTGGACCTTCTCCACAGCTCCTCGCCGCCACTGGACACACCCCTCTCTACCAAACCCGTTCGCACTCTGAATACTTGCGAAGCTTCTACAACCGCAAGCTTGATGATGCGGTTCCTTTCATCAATACCCTCAAGCTGTTGACACTGAACTGATGCATTCATTCATTTCATCTTCTTCTTGTATTGTGTCATGAACATGAATTCAGGTTTTTCCACCTATTTTGACATTTTGTTTACTCCAAAGAGGACCATTAGTATGTAAATTGTAACGACAGCAGATCAAACAACTGATCCAAGTCATTTCATGATTTTATTCTGAACTAGCATTTTTCTTGTAGGGTTGATAATCGCAGTGCTTTAGAAACTATTTTACATCTCAATGGACGTGGTGTGACGAGCGAATCACGATCAATGAACAAAAGACTTCTCCATAGCATGATCAACACAGTTATATAGAAGTTTCCCATGTCATCAAATAAATTCATATATTGCATAAAAGTACTATCTTATTTCCAAAACTTTACCAATAGTTGATAGAATATTACAGCTGTAAGTTTTGACCATAGAGCTCAATATCCATAGTCAACATTTTAATAATTTTTTGTCCGATTTCTTTAAAAATACAATAGTGTAAGACGAAGGCCAAATGTTCTGGAGTTGAATGCTTCCTCCTATTTTGCATCCGGATGGCACATATCTCACTCTAAGAGCACTGAGGTTGGCAGATGCAAAGGAAGATATTGGCTTGGACTTCAAATAAGACATTAGAAGTTCTGGGTTATAGGAGGATCTGAGAGGGATGCTCAACTTTTGTTCTTAAGACGCTTCTCTAAGAAGCGTATTAGCTGCCTTCCCTGTTCTTCAATCTTCATCTGTAAACTTCTTTGCATCTGTATGTGTAATTCAAGAAGGATGAAATGAAAACTTACTTTCATATCACTGTATTTTATGTGCAGACTTCTGAAAGTTTGCATGTGCGTGTATGTGTGAATGTGACAGAACGTAACATTTTCAGAATAGCTACCTCCAACTGTTGTAGTAGTCGCTTTTGTACATTCAGCTGCGTCTGCAAGGTTTTGCAATACGCTTCTGCAATCAGCTTGCTTCTGTTGCCAACAAATATTCAGTACGCTTATTTTACTCATATCATGACTTCCTACTTCAAGACAAACATTCGACACTTGAAACTTGCACGCCTCTCATAAGCGGTGCTTCTTTTGTGCTCTTCTTAAGTTTGTATACTGGAGTTAATAAACAACAAATAAGTCGAAGCTTACGTTTTGAGGTTGTGCACTGGCATTGTGTCAAAATTGTTCTTCTCTGATTTTCCTGCATGTACAATATGATTTATGCACATAAAATAAGTCATCATATTGCCAAGCAAAGATTAGTTACCCATGGATGTGTCTTCAACAATAATAGAGCTCCTGTCACTTGCAAGGAATGTTCAATCGTGCCCATCTTAGTGGATGCAGAGAATTACCTTCTTTAGATTCTGCAATGTACTTGGCCATGCGACATTTCTGTGATGTAATAGACAAATAAAGTTTTGGTTTGAAATTCTGAACAAAATGTTAGGGATGGGCATTGATTTTTGGCTAATAGAAGGAAAGTCATTATGTTGCAATACCTGCAAGTGACCCTTAATATGAAAGACTGTCAACCCTTTGACATCCATTAGCTTCAGAATTAACTTTGGTTTTGCTCCTGCGGACATCCAATAAATCATGACTTGGACGTCAGTTGAAGTATGTATAGATATTGACTCGAAAGTGACATTTTCTGTCCAAAACTTACTTTCAGCTCCTCCCAGACGATTTACACATTCAAGAAATTGGTTGTGAAGATGTGGAGTCCATCTAATTCGTCTATTACTAGAAATAGCAGCTGCTGGTGAAATGGAGTTTCCGTGAGGATCAGCATCAGATTCAGCTTCATTTCCAGAAACGGGGGACCCCTTCTCTAGCTGACACACACAAATTTGAAAGAAGATGATAGACCCCTCTTTCGAAGAATGATCAGTGCACAAACATCTGCGAAGTTCATGTTATGTTACATGCCTTGGTATTGAGATATTTCTTACTATGCTTTCGTCCATTGCTTAAAACGGCAAGTTTAGAGCAGTTCTGTGGCTGGGGCAATTGATGACTTTGGTCATTCCATTTGTTGTAAATGTGAAAGTTCACTAGATTTTGAAGATCGTCACGGGACTGAAGAGCAAGGCATTGCTGGTCTTCTGAATGATCATAAACCAATGATTCACAATTTCTTGATCTTGGCTGCGGGAAATTACATGAAAATAGGTTACAAGCATCTAAATCAACTTGCAGACGGCCGATAGAACATGCAACTGCAGTAGGAACAGAAGAAGAAGATGTGTTATTGCTTGACTTGTTGTCCGTTGTATAGAATCCACTTCTGCCCAGATTTGAGGATAAACAGCTTTGGCTGCATCCTAATTGTGACACTGGTGATTGATGACGCTGAAACCGATGAAAGCAAAGCTCAGAGGATGTACAGGGGTTCTGTTCATGATTGTTACATTTTGCGGTGCTCATATCAGCGCTAATGCTACCAGAGGTTGCCATCTTCATCACTGTATGCTGTGAAAAGTAGGGTTCGCGAGACTCTACCCGACGGTGGTTTGGTAGATGGGAGGCACAATGAATTAGAAAGCTACAGGGTTATAATTGTTGTATGTTATGGATCATAAGAAATACAGAATGGCAATGCCTTTCTAGATCAACAGGAATAAAGAGAGTGTCCTGCGATGAACTTTAAGTGGGGGATATCAGGGCCAAGGAGGCCAAACAATGGCAGATGAATGGTACACCCAAAGGCCAAAGCCCAAGAATCATTTGGAGAAAAGTGTCCATTGAGACAGACAATTTGCCTATTGTATTATACTTTCAGCCAGGATACTCGAAACAATGGATGAACGCTGAGTGATTTGAATGTGGACACTCTATCCACAATGAACCATGATGAGCACATAATGACCCAAATATGTCATTCCAACGGCCCAGGTGTCGCCCTTTCTCTCTTTCTCTACGCACCCATCACGCCATTCTACATTGACTTGCTGACAATGATGAGTTGTCATTTCCCATATACTGCCAGTGCCAACGATTGTGTAAGCGCGGGGCAGGCATATGAACAATGCAGGCCATACTTTCAGAACACCTCAAAGACTCTTGTTGAATTAGTCAAAGTATTTGTTTGTTTTTTTAATAAAGCCTAGTTGGTTGTCCTAGTTTATAGGAATTTGTTGCAGCATGTTTGTTGCTGCACACATGTTCAGGATAGTGGGTAGATAGTTCAGCATAGTGGGTTAATTGTTGTGGCTACTTTTCTGGGATTTTCTGTTGGTGTATGGCCTATCTAAAAGGTTAAGTTGTTGTTCAATTATGACGCATGAATGTAGTAAGCATAATTTTCACAGGTGTACACTACTCTCTTTTATGTGTTTTTTCTTTGTGCTTGCAAAGTACAGCCAGCTTATGCACCTTTTCTGTAACAGTGATATCAGAGCCATTAAAGAAGGAAAAGTGAGTTAAAAACACGAAAGGAAAAAGTGAGAGTGAAAGGCAGTAGCCAAAAAGTGAGCTTGAGTTGAAAACACGCGAGGAAAGATTTTTTCTTGGTATCCAGCAGCGGTGATGGCTTCAGAAACCTTTGTCCAACCAGCTATTCCACGCTTTGATGGTCATTATGATCATTGGAGCATGCTAATGGAGAACTTCCTGAAATCCAACGAATATTGGGATGTTGTTATCTCTGGAGTTGCCAAACCAGAAGAAGGAGCTATGCTGACAGCAGCACAACGAACGGCTCTGGAAGCAGCAAGATTGAAAGATCTCAAGGCCAAAAACTACCTTTTTCAGGCCATTGACAGATCTATCTCGGAGACAATTCTCCGTAAGGATACCTCCAAGCACATATGGGATTCCATGAAGAAAAAATATCAAGGTACCGCAAGAGTAAAAAGGCAGCAACTTCAAATGCTTCGTGGAGAGTTTGAGTTACTAAGAATGAAGTTGGGAGAGTCAATTACCGATTTCTTCTCTCGGACAATGGCAATTGTCAATAAGATGCGGATTCACGGTGATAAGATGGAGGATGTCACCATCGTTGAGAAGATTCTTCGATCTTTGACACCAAAGTTTAACTTTGTTGTCTGTTCTATACAAGAAGCCAAGGATATTGAAGAACTCTCAATTGATGAATTGCAAGGGTCGTTGTTGGTTCATGAACAAAATTTTCTTCAGCAAAAGCCAGAAGAGAAGGCGTTGAAGGCAACTACAGATCACTTTTCATCAACAACAAGAACGAATAGTGGCAGAGGTAGAGGAAGGGGAACCAATGAACGTCGCAATTTCAATCAAAAGCCTAATGGTCATTTTTCTCGTGATGCTCAAGGTGGAGAACAAGGACATGGAGGTCAGCACTCAACTGTTTTCAAACCAAGGTCAATAGACAAATCTAGAGTAGAGTGTTTTAGATGCCATAGGTATGGACATTACAAATCTGAATGTCGTACCAATTTAAATACACAAAGCATGGAAAGGATTAATTTTGCGGAAGAAAAAGAAGAAGCAGTGTCTCTCCTAATGGTGTGTCAAGAAACGGAGAAAATTTCATCGAACTTATGGTATATTGACACCGGTTGCAGCAACCATATGTGTGGAGACAAGAAGGCATTCTCTGCATTAGATGAGTCGTTTCGCACCTCAGTCAAATTTGGAGACGACTCGACTGTGTCAGTCAAGGGTAAAGGGACAGTTGCAATTGTTCTTAAAGGAACCTCGGTTCAGATGATCAAAGAGGTGTTTTATGTTCCTGAGTTAAAGACCAACCTTCTAATTGTTGGACAATTGCAAGAGAAGGGATATGAAATTACACTCAAAAGAGGTGTTTGCAGAATCCATGATGAGAAACAGCATCTGATTGCTCAAGTTAATATGACTGCCAATCGGATGTTCCCGCTGCATCTTCATGGCACCTCTCACTCCTGTTTCTCTGCAAGATTGAAGGATAAAGCATGGTTATGGCATTTCAGATACGGACACCTCAATTTTGGTGGGTTGCGGACGTTACATCATAAGAAGATGGTGGAAGGACTTCCCCCAATCATGGCACAGTCCGAAATACATGAAGAGTGTGTTGTTAGCAAACAACACCGAGATCATTTTCCAAAAGGCAAAGCATGGAGAGCCAAGAAGCACCTCGAACTTGTCCATTCAGATATTTGCAGGCCAATTTCCCCAATTTCCAATGGAGGTAAACGATATATCATTACCTTCATTAACGATTTCAGTCGGAAGGTTTGGGCTTACTTTTTGCAAGAAAAATCTGAAGCCTTTGAAGCCTTCAAGAGCTTCAAAACTCTTGTTGAAAAAGAGAGTGGAAATCCAATCAAAGTTCTCCATACAGATTGTGGTGGCGAATATATTTCAACTGCGTTCGCAGATTTTTGTGTGGAGCATGAGATTAAAAGACAACTCACTGCAGCTTATTCACCGCAACATAACGGTGCCTGCAAAAGGAAGAACTGCACTATTCTGAATATGGTGCGAAGCCTCTTGATGTCAAGTGGAGTTCCAAAAAGCTTCTGGCCGGAGGCAGTCAATTGGAGTGTTCATCTTTTGAATAGAAGTCCCACTCTCGCTGTTTTAAATAAGACACCCGAAGAAGCTTGGAGCGGGAGAAGATCCGTAGTTGATTACTTCAGAATTTTTGGGTGTCTTTCATATGTCCATGTTCTTGACCAGAAGAGGAAGAAGCTAGAAGATAAAGCAGAAAAATGTATTTTTCTTGGCATTAGTGATCATTCAAAAGCCTACAAACTTTATGATCCTATAACCAAGAAAATTACCATTAGCCGTGATGTGATCTTTGATGAAGAAAAATTCTGGTCATGGAGCGAGAAGAATGGTGGTGAACAAATTCCAGCAAACTTTGAAGATGATACTGAGTTGGAAAAGCAGCCCTCTACGAGTCAAGTCACCACAGAAAATACTGACAATTCAGCAGTTGCTGTAGCATCTGAAGAACGACCACAACGCATCCGACAAAGGCCAGCATGGGTGGAAGATTATGAAGTGTCAAGAGTTGAGCAAACCGAAGACCCACTGATCCATTTTTCTTTGTTTGCAGATAGTGACCCAACTACTTTTGATGAAGCAGTACAAAACAAAAACTGGAGAGTTGCAATGGATGCAGAGATCAAATCAATTGAGAAGAATGGTACGTGGGAATTGACAAATCTTCCCGAAGGGCAAAAGTCAATCGGAGTCAAGTGGGTATACAAGACGAAAATGAACATGAATGGTGAAATTGAAAAGTACAAGGCGCGCTTGGTGGCAAAAGGTTACAAGCAGGAATTTGGAGTGGATTACAAAGAGGTGTTTGCGCCAGTTGCGAGACTCGATACAATCCTATTAGCGATTGCGCTAGCAGCACAGAATTCATGGTTCATCTATCAGTTAGATGTGAAGTCGGCGTTCTTACACGGTGATCTTCAAGAACAAGTATTTGTTCATCAACCTTCTGGATATGTCAAGCCGGGTAATGAACATAAAGTCTATAAATTGAAAAAGGCTTTATATGGGTTGAAGCAAGCTCCAAGAGCTTGGTACAGTAGGATTGATGCTTACTTTTTGAAAGATGGATTTACAAAATGTCCATATGAGCATACGCTATTTATCAAGATTGGTCATGGTGGAAAATTGCTTCTAGTGTGTTTGTACGTGGATGATCTTATCTTCACAGGGAATGATAGTGTCATGATTGACACATTTAAGAAATCTATGATGGAGGAATTTAACATGACTAATCTTGGGTTGATGCATTATTTTCTGGGCATTGAGGTAAATCAATCTGCAGCTGGAATTTTTCTATCTCAAAAGAAATATGTTCAAGAGATTTTAGAAAAATTTCAGATGACGCATTGCAATTCGGTAACCACGCCAACTGAGGTTGGATTGAAGTTGTCGAAGGATCCCGATGGAAGAAAGGCAAATAGCACCTTCTACAAGCAAATCATGGGGAGTTTAATGTATTTAATAGCTACAAGGCCAGATATCATGCATCCTGTGAGCCTTATTAGCAGGTACATAGAGAATCCAATTGAAAAACATTTGCTAGCTGCAAAGCGAATTCTTCGCTACTTAAGAGGGACTGCAACTTTTGGGTTATTCTATAAGAAGGGAGAAAAATCGGAGTTGATTGGTTTCACTAATAGCGATTACGCTGGTGATATGGATGATTGAAAAAGCACTTCCGGTTATGTATTTATGCTTGGTTCGGGGGCTGTCTCATGGTGTTCGAAGAAGCTGCCGATTGTTACTCTGTCAACAACTGAAGCTGAGTTTGTGGCTGCCACCTCTAGTGCTTGTCAAGCTATTTAGTTAAGGAAGATTCTTGGAGAGCTTCAATTTAAACAGGAAGATGCAACTACAATCTATTGTGACAATAGCTCAGCCATTAAACTCTCAAATGATCTAGTTCTATATGAAAGGAGCAAACACATAGATGTGAAGTATCATTTCCTGAGGGATCTCACGAAAGATAAAGTGATTGATCTTGTTTTTTGAAGGAGTGAAGATGAGCTTGCTGATTTGTTCACCAAGCCTCTCAAATTATCTGCATATTAGAAGCTAAGACAGCTTCTTGGTGTTTGTTCGTTGGAAGCTGCAGGTTAAGGGAGGGCTGGTTCTAGTCCTTTTAAACTAAATGTTTGCAACATCAGTTTAAGGGAGGGTGTTGAATTAGTCAAAGTATTTGTTTGTTTTTTTAATAAAGCCTAGTTGGTTGTCCTAGTTTATAGGAATCTATTGCAGCATGTTTGTTGCTGCACACACGTTCAAGATAGTGGGTAGATAGTTCAGCATAGTGGGTCAATTGTTGTGGCTACTTTTCTGGGATTTTCTGTTGGTGTATGGCCTATCTAAAAGGCTAAGTTGCTGTTCAATTATGACGCATGAATGTAGTAAGCATAATTTTCACAGGTGTACACTCTCTTCTCTCTAACTCTCTTTTCTGTGTTTTTTCTTTCTACTTGCAAAATACAGCCAGCTTCTGCACCTTTTCTGTAACAACTCT